AAGGAGGTGTTGGACGTGACGGGTATGTTGTCCAAAAGATTACCCAGTTGTGATATGCTCTGAAAGCTGGCTTCCTGTAATTCAGCTGAGGATCCTGCTGATAATTTCGTGTATCTACGAGATTACGTTGATTGCGTTAACTGCTCAAAACTTCCCGAGTTTGCTCCGGCCAAGCTCAAAAATGGATTCACTGAAGATATGAGAATTGCTGCACTCAATAAGTTGAAAATAACGAAGGTATGTCTTGCCTTGTTATATGTTCCATGGCTAACCAGCGTCGCATGATGCTGTTTTATTCAAGCGTCAGTCACGTCGAGTTTATGAAATTTTGCGTCTCAAATGTACAAATATGAAGGATGCTGCGGAGGCCAAGGCGTATAGGCTGGATGTCAAACGAAGGTTTGCTAACCATTGCTGATCGTTGACCCTTTGCCAAGAAATCACATGTCGAATTGTCAGAGCTTCTTACAGACTCGAAGCCCCGATGAGGAGAAATGAGCGAGATTGGAAAAAGATTCAGCGTGCTCTTGATGATAATGAATATGCTCAGGTGACTTTTTTTACGAAATATTTTTGATAAAATGCGGTAGCTAATACTAAATTGCTCGTGGACACCGAATTCGAGATAAAAAAGCATTGTTCTCAACTATTGATTGCTGACGTACAGCTCACATGTTAGCTAATCCAGCCATCTGCGGTGAATGGAATAATTGTGCCGATTCAATAGCTATCAGTCGAATTTTATTCGTTTCTTGCCATGAGGAGGGATTCACCGATGTGAATGCAGGCAATAATAAGAATATTCTACAGGTCACCTTTTTCGATGGTGAACGACTATCGAGATTCACTCGGCATGGAAGAAGTTTTTCCTTTTCTCTTGATTTTATTGAGCGCAGCACGAAATTTATGAAAACTTCCTCCATAGCTGAGTGTAGCTGACCTAAAATTGAGACTTCGTTCTGAAACGCCTTCTATATATTGTAAGGACGCCGCTGCGCGAGAGTCATTTTGGAGGTGCGTTTTGCCGTAGCTGCGTAATAGCGGCCAGTTTCCCCTCGGGCTATCTGTGGCTTCTAAGGTGTGCTACAACAACTTTGAATAGTTTTATTTGTAAGAACTAATTGACTTTCGTGAATTTCTTTTCAGGTAGCGGCATCATATGTCAATGCGGATCAAAAAATGCAGCAACTTCAACAGCTCTACGAAGAGGAAGTGGAGGCGTACAAACTGACAATTCAAAGAATGACTGTTCATCCTAATATTTGACCTGTTGACATTTTGCATGTTGTATTTTATTCTTTGACGTTCCCATTTGATCTCCTGGTGAAAGTTACGATTTCTGTGAGCATAACTACTGCCCCTGCATGCCATTGTTTAGTTTCGGTTAGTTAATAAAATTTATTTATTTGGTTCTGTTCCAGTTGAAGCTCTGTATAAAGCAGTTACATTTCCATTCGTGTCAGTAAGTGAGTGAAAATCTGGAAAAGTGAACTCAACTTTTAGGGAAGGATGGATGAGTTCTCATTTCCATTCCCACCCTACAACATACAACTTGATCTTATGCGAGAAATAAAACAATGCATTGAGAAGGGACAGGTGCGCCCACATTTCAGTCATTCATTGAGCAGTGTTCTCTGAAGACTGGTTTTCAAGGTTGGAATTTTCGAATCTCCGACTGGGACGGGTAAGTCGTTGAGTGTCCTATGTGCCACAATGACATGGCTAGAGGAGTTCGAGAAAAAGACCGAAGAAGATCTATTAAAGCAGTCGCGCCTCACAGAAGAGGTCAGCGATAATGAAGGTTCTGATCACTTATCTTTGGTAATTTCGCATATGTTTTCACTGCGCTGCCTTACACGCGCTAATATTAACAGTACTGTATGGAAGACCGATCCATCACTATCTTGTATCAGCCGCCCATTTGGACAGTGGGGGGTATAATTGCAATTCTTTGGGAACGGGGTTGTATTTGAGCACTTCTTTAATGCATCAAGTGAAAAATGTTTGAAATTTTGTTTCAAGACACTTAACTTGACATAATGTGGAAACGGAATTGATGGTGAGGTGGAGAGAGATAGTGGGAAGGGTCTATTTATGGGTAGCCCTTCCATAGTGATAGTGGAGGGAGCTCGACTCTCCTTAAGAGGAGGGGGATTAGATTAGTCCACTTTAGCGCAGCAGTTGACCATGTCTGTGATAGGTTCAGGTCTATATCAATATTTTGTAATCTCTGCATCATAAGCGAGTGAAAAACTGTCAGATCTGTAAGGTAAGGTAAATATCATTGGGGTGGTACACATATAAGAAGGCGTTCTGCTCAAGTAATGTTCGTTGTAGCCCACTCCGCTAAGGATGCCATATTTAGATTGGATTTTGGCTCACAAGAAAAAGTTGGAAATAATGAAGATCAAGGATGAAGCGTACGATAAACTGCAATTATTGGAGAAGGTCAAGGAGAAATTGTACCAGGCAAAGGCTGGTGTAATAAAGCGAGACAGGAAGAGACGTTTGCGCGATGAAGGAAATTCGGAAGAGCTGGAACCAGAGAACGATGCTGCACAAGTGTGTTCATTTTTTTTACAATTAACTTTCTCCTGTGTACGCAGTGACACTGTGATATGATCGGCTGATTGTCGTAATAACTTCGTATAGCATAAGAAACACAGCGCCTGAGATTATGTCTCGGATGACGAAGCAGAATCTAAACCTGAAGAGCCTCTTAAAGCTGTTAAAGTGTTCTATGCATCACGCACACATTCGCAGTTGGAACAATTGATGGATGAACTGAAAAAGACCAGGTTTGTAGAAGCACCCAAGATGA